TCCCAAACACCTACTACCATTTCTTCTTGAAATCTGTGAGCCGATTAACCTGGAGTCTGGCCGTTTCGGTTTATTTTGGTCAGTTTTTCCTCTAGGACTGCCAGACGCCCGGCCACATCAAAAATCATAAAAAATGCTCACCTCCCACATACGTGAACTACGAATCCTTAAGAATATAGGCATACGGGAAACTTATACTAAAACACTAACTAAATTACCTAGTCGTACGAAAAGATGAACAAACTTGAAACTTTATTTACATATAAGCACGCCAATTAAACGTAAAGAAAACAAAATATTAACAGTCACTCACCCTGACACACAGAGGAACCCACACATCTTTTAAAAAACTAATGCGTCAAAATTACTGACAGTCTACGATATGCTGACACATTTCTTCGATAAAACATTACAAACAGCCAGACTGAGCATGTTGAGCATCTAACACACGACTAACCAACCAAAACAATGCGGATAGGCAGACCAAAATCATCGGAAAGCATAAATTAAATTCTCAATTTGTGCAGTTATAATTATCGAAAGTGTAAATATTTTTATAGCTACTAATAACCACTTTTAAAGTTAAGGTAAAAAAAAATCGGCCTATTAACATTTTTACACAGCGCGACCAATTGTACATTGTGCATTTTCCATTATTATGTGGAGATTTTAATTAAACACAGAGCTTTTTATCAGATCCAAAAGCTTTGTTATAGGTTTCCGTGTGTATACCTCTGGCCTTGGCAGTCTCTCTCTAAGTTGTAGGATTCCGTATATATTTTTATGGAGTCTGTATAAAAATTCGCATCAAATTCTTTCTGGTTCCTATCAGTATCTTCTGTTCCGACTGCCTCCGTAGTTTGCAGTACCTTAGAAATTCTGCCGGTACCAGACCAGTCCTATTCTGTAAACCCAAACCATTATGGTGTACTTGGGTACAATGTGGATTGCAATTTTTACTTGGATTTATAAACACACCAGATTAAACATAGAGAAACACAGAATATTAACAACAATTCACTTGTACATCATGTACAGACCTAATACTACAAAAACATTGACAGACAAAGATAGGCTGATACATTTCACAGATGAAAATCGCAAAGAGCCTCTTGAACCTAAAAGACCAATACAGTATGGTTAGGCAGAACAAAATGATTGGATACGACCAAGCTACGTTATGGTCATGTTTCTGGTCTAGTTGTATATATTTTTCTTGTTTCTAGGGCCCTTTACAACCTTACTCAACGCGACCCATTTCGATGGTATACTATTATTGCAATATCATCTAGAGTTGTTAGAAAGCTCAGGCGTTTTTATCAGATCCAAAAACTTTTTTAAGAGCTCCTAGTGTATCCTTCTGGCGTGGGCTTTCCCTCTCGAAGATGTAGTAATCTCAGGCAATAGACCTTCTCAACAACTGAGGACATGTTCCACAGTTTCTTCTTCTTCCTGGGAATATCTACTAGTCCGATTCCATACAAATGCCTCCGGAGTTTGCCGGCTTAATTCTTCCGTTACTTTATTCAAGTTTTTTTAAAATTGATTTTCACATGTTTCACTTCTGTTCTTGCGTAGAATCTTCTTATTTACTTAATTATTTACTAAACTTGGTACTGTACGTAATAAGTACTAAAATTTGGTAATGTAAACAGCAAACGGAATCGTAACCTTTCATCGCGAAATGCAGGCTTTCTTTTAGGCGTCCTTTTACAAGGTAACAGAGCACAATCGGCCTAGCGCTAATATATATAATAAGACGAGTCGTAAAACTTAATGGGGGAATAATTCAAAGAAGGTTGGAACTCACGTATATATTCTTGTCGGGTTTTTTCCACCCCGCCCGAGGGCGGTTTGATGGGAAGGGAAAGCTGTGATAAAGCGATAAAGGCTGCGTGACGCCCGGTTCGAGGCCTCCTTCAAGGGCCGGCTATCTCACTTCTTCGTCCTATCTCGTGAGGATGTCCGGCCCCGAGATAGGAGAGGGCGCCCCCAGAAAAGCTGGAGCTTGTCCCCTCGAAGAAGAAAACCTTTTTTCTTCCCTCGTTGACTCCCCTAAATAATATACATCTTAAGTTAAGATTAGCGGATTTCGATTGTTGTAGCGCTACTTTCATAACCGGATTTTTTATATCGTAACGCAAATACAACTCATGACTTAAGAATTACAATTAGACGTTCTCAATTTAAAATAATAAATTCGTACATTCAGTTTCATTTTTAATGCCGAATAACTAGTAGGATTTCTCTCCTCTCACTTTGACTTTTAACCATTATCGACTCACATTGGGTGTATTAATGATGTTTGTAAAATCGTTCGTGTTAATAGAGAAATGTCCAGTAAGATCGTGAACGCCCTCTTCTGTTCTTAGCATGTTAAAATTTAATTTTTCCGCAATGCTGTGCGTGGCATTGGTAGAACCAAAAATAAAGCTGTAATAGTCCTTGAAGGCTTGTTGTTGTTTGTTTTGGTTGTCTTTGTGTTGAATTGTAAGATGCCAGAAGTTAATAAAAAAAAAGAAAATCAATTAATTATTTCATTCAAAATGCTATCTATGCACTCGAAAAGTACTAACAAATGGCACGCTTCAATTCCTGGCAATACCTAACTTGTATTCTAACGTCTAACAGCCTAAATCTTCATAGGATTTGGGATGTATCTATTATGAATGAGAGTATAAGGACAGATTAGAAATTAACAAAAGAAATGTGTTAGTCTGATTTAATTAATGCGTATTTAAGAATTAAAAATACGTGTAAACAAAAAACAGCTGTTAAATTCATGGCTGCCGTGTCGGTTACCTACGCCATAACGGTTAGCCATGTGACTACATTTTGTACCTAACATCTAACATTGGCCTTGCCCTGTTAGATCGAGTAAAATTAACGACCAGATTCTTACCTGTCTACGACATCATTTTTCTCGATCTAACAGGACATAACAGACTTAACAGAAAGATCATCAATACCCCTACAATCTTCTATTAGATGTTATCTACATCATAATCAAAGTTCTTCTATATTTTATTCTACCGTTCCTACTCTTTACTTTGCCAACCCGTCGTTTGTCTATCACTGTCACACAATCTGTAAACTGATTTTACTTTTAAATGGGTCAACACTTCCTTTCTATCTAATGGGAAAATCATCCTTCTTTTTAAAAAATAAATAATATTTTAGTTTTTATTGTTTAATTTTGCTTTTGTTTGTTTTAACTTTAAAATATTGTTAGAGGAGAAAGGGACGAAAGAAAGCTTCTGCACCTCCACCTGAGATGGACTATTGTCAAAATATTGTTTAAAAACGAGCCAATAGGTTGTATCTAAGAAAAGGGCCAATTCTTCAATAGATTCAAGTGTGCTGAATAATTTAATTCGATTTTACATTTGCAAGTATTAAAGCTCCCATACAGGGCTTTAGGAAATTTCCTAAGTGTGTTAAGGTACAATAAGTTTTTTAAATCTTTTTATTTGTAGCCTATATGCATTACTTCATAACATGTTTTTTCACATGGTCAAAGCACTAAAACTAACGCTTCTACGTGCACTTAGAAGACACATGCCATGAGGAACTAGCCAATGCTGGCACTCTGTGTGAGGGATTCGGGAACAAGGAGCTCTCTAGGCCATCGTCGATGAAGATGACATGTTGGGTGGAGGTGATGGCGCTGGTGCAGTAAAGTTAGGATGGATGGAGAGGTTGGTGTGAAATTTTGGAAACGGGAACGGAAAAGTGACTAAAGGAATGTTGAGATCATTGTGGATAATGAGGATATTGATGTAATAAGGATTTATCTGAGGATTTTTGATTGGAAGGATGGATGCGCTGAATGTTGGATGGATTGGCAGAATGCCAATATTCCGTACGTCAAATATGGACGCAGCAAAGTCTTGTATAATCTTGTATAAGGTTGGTTTAGTGTTGACGGTCAAGACAGATTTCGGTCCTAGACGTCTTCGTAGTAATGCAAGTCTTCTTTTAAGTCCTAAGTTTTCGACTTAGATGGAAGTTGGTAACTATTTGTTTTTGATGTACAGAAGAGGGCAAGTCTGTTTTACTGTTTTTTTTCCCCAATGCGAACGTACATTGAGTACATTTTTCTTCATTCAGTCTTGTCCTTCAGCTTTGCGTCTTCAATAAACGCAAGCAGTTCTTGGCTGTTGGAGGTAGAGTGGATAACATTAGAATTTGAGGTATCGCCCGGTGTGATGTAGGTGGTGATGATAGCATTAGGGTGTATCGGTTAGTCAGTAGTATCAATTATTCTAAGAACGGGACCAAGAGGACTCCGTTGTGGGACGCCGGGTTGTATCTGTCTGATTTCTGAGAACTCTTTCCGCACCTCATTCTGAACTAGTTTAGGCTAGATAGGATTTCGGTGGATAAGATAATAAAGAGTGGGTAGTATGACCCACGGAAACTCGTTATTCTCTTAAGCAGAGGAGATAGTGTCGACGACAGTGGAATCTTTAAAAGCAATCTTTCAAGTATTTTGGACTTTGAAAGTAGAAGACATATGGGCCTGTAAGAGTATATGTGGTTTGAAGGTTGGTGACTTTTAAGAATAAGGAACGACGGAATAGTTCCATAAAAGCGGATACCAAGTGGTGTGTAGTATGACATTATATATTGTGGTGAGAAACCAGTGGCAGTTTGTGGTCGGTTTCGAAGTATGGCGGAGGTAACCAGATGATGACCCAGGGACTTTCTACTTGGGATTTGGAAATATGGTACTTTCCTTCAAAAGGATGAAAAGGGTTAAGATGGAGATGAAATGGAAGTTAAAAAATCTAACAGTCGTTGGAAAAGAAGAAAGCTGTCAAATGAAAATGTAGCTAAGTACTTGGCAGGGAGTGTGTATCCTCAAAAGACACCGTTAATCATTAGACTGCTGGCCTAGGAAAGCGAAAAAGATCTGTTTCGTGCATCACGTTACACCCCAGCAATTCACCAAGAACTTGAAATTAGGACAATTTTTAAAAAGAAACACATGTCAGAACAGAACCTAAAGAATGTTACATGCTGTGAAAAGTAGGTTTACCTGCGAAATCTTGACAAATTTGGGCGATGGGTAGATCTTGATGCAACACCTTATCCAGTAGCTACAACAGAAAAATCAATTTTGAAAGTACGTTGGCATAAATGTCACAGGGTTAATAACAAACGTAGAAATATGGTAATTAATTATTATAGCATAATTAAAAACTATTAACTCCATAGTATTTTGTTATTTTCCTGCATTATTGAAAGTTTAATTTAATACTTCAGTATGGAAACAAATCTAGGCAGCTTCTAGGAGAGATCTGATCTTTCTTCCAAATCCATTCTTGCACTTTTCAAAAACTTATTTACGATACTTTCAGAAATCGTATTTTTATTTTGTTTATGCTAAAGTACTCAAAAAGGATTGTATTTTATTAAAATCGCATTATGGTTAGACATGTTATGTTGATGGTGTTTCTATGCCGGCCGGACAGGAATTATTAACAACCGGCTTTCCTTCCTTCTTTAGATTTCAAGCATCCACCTCTTTGGCTTAATGGGTGAATACTTCGACTTTTTTTCACTCCCTTTTTCGATCCCCGCTCTCTTCATCCGTCCATTCTTTCCTTTGCACCTGTCAGCCGATGTGTGTCAGACAGGAGAAGAGGATCGGTGCCTCTCTATTGAATCATTCATGTTGTCGAGTGCATTGTCAGTAACTACTTGGCTCAATTTCCCATAACAGGTCTACCGAGTTCACAGTGAGTCACAAATGTATTTATTATTGTCTAGATGTCAACAATGTTCGGGCAATGTAAGTTTCCACTTAAAGTTTTCATGATAAAAGACTAGTAAAAAGGTTCATGTAAGGTCCTTGTCAAACTTATAAAGCATCATTATATTTTCCTTTTTTGATGATACTTTGAATAAATAAGAGGATTTGATTTCGTTTGTTAATTACTTATTTTGTATTGTTTGTAATTTGTTCTCTCTCTCCCTCTCCCTCACTCTCTCTCTCTCTCTTTCTCTCTCCCTCCCTCCCCCACTCCCTCTCTCTCTCTNCTCTCTCTCTCTCTCTCTCTCTCTCTCTCTCTCTCTCTCTCTTTCTCATTCTCTCTCTCAAATAAATAGAACTTATCTTTTATTGTATATCATATGTTGAAAGTTTTTTTGTCTAAAACAAGGATCGCCTTAAAGAGTTCATTTTTTTTATTGTGTTAACTTCGCCAGATCGGAGATTAAAATAGAAGAAGTCACTTTGAGATGAGATTAAGGATTATAAATCGAACTGAATCCATTCATCCGATTGACACCGGCCGGATCGAGTTATCGAACCATAGATAATGACGTTCTCACAGAAATAGGGGGAAAAAAGAATCATCAGTTATTTTTGCCGGCTCCCGTTTCGTCGCGATACCATGTAATTTGGGCGTTTCCGACGTGATTCGCCATCGGTGGGACCACAAAGATGATGAAAGGCGGTAGTGTGATCAAAACATCGCCTTAATTACATCAAGTTAATCACGGCGGAAGAGTCCGGTTGTTAAGGGTCCGATTAAGGGAATGAGCGCCCTTTAATCCAACTCCATGGGGGCCAAAGGGCCGTCGCCCGGCCAGGGGGAAGGAGCGCAAGACCCCCTTGTTTACAGGCCCTTTCATTAGAGGCAGACAAGGTAAACAAACCAACTCATTTGCATAGCATTACTAATCATAATTTGTACTCGTCTGCTTGACGCCACGCCTACAAACATAATGCAAGGAAAATTAGTTGGGAAACCTTATTAAAGAATAAATCAGTCCTATCCCGACAATAACTTTCTATCCCAGTAGTGAAATATATTAATAAAGTTTATTGATTATTGAACATTGTTTTACATTTATTGAAAAGAAATATTTACCAAATACATTTAAAATAAATAAAATTTCAGTGAACAAAAAAATTCATAATGAGAGCTCGGATAAGTATACACTTTATATTGGGCAACAAAACATATTAATTATAAATTATGACAAAAAATTGAGAATATAGGTATCTCTCTAAAAAAAAAGATCATGCCATGCTCAGGTTGCATGAAAACAGCACTAAATAAGAGAACTCTCTAGTAAATTTATATNACAGTTTGCAGTTCTATTTCTGACCATGGCAGAGAGCTTTTTAGTAATGCCCTTCACATATGTAATACCTCTGTACAATTTAACGGTATTGTTAACAGGTACTATATATATATATGTATGTATAATTTATACATGTGGGCTTTGGAAGAAAACACAGTGACTATTCTTTTTAAACTTCGTTTTATTTTCATCTTAACACATCTACTAACTCGTCTTAACATAGGATAACCTTCTTGATTCTTCTCGGTCGTTGTTTTCGACCTCACCTCTCTCTCTTCGCGTCACATTGGTTGTCCAATGAGAAGCCAAGAAGGCTTTCCAGATTCCTTAACCGTGTGTTTATTCTGTTCAAATACACACCAACTTGTCTATAAATGGTTTTTCGTTGAGATAAGGTTCTCGGTGGCCATTTCATTTGTCGCCGAGAATCAAATAGACTGCACGAAGGTCTTGGGTTCGAATCCCGCTTGTGACACTGACTCTTTTATCTCACCCAAAAACCTTAATTAATTTTAAGATATTAATTGGTCAAGCGGACCACGAAAACTAGTGAATTTAAAAGTTAAAATGAAATATGTCTTCACTAAAGCCCTCCGTGGTCATTTCATTTGTCGCCGAGAATCACATAGAATACACGACATTTGAAAAATGGCAAAAGGAGGGAAAATTCAAAAGGTGAGGTTGAGATGGGAAGTTAGTGTCCGAGTGGGTCGAAGTCACGATAGCTCAAGTGGTAGAGTAGCGGCGTATCTAGCCGAAGTTCGTGGGTTTAAATCCCGCTCGTGACACTGACTTTTTTATCTCAACTAAAAATCTTAATTAATTGAAAGATATTAATTAGTCAAGCGGACCACGAAAACTAGCGAATTTAACTTGTCTATAAACCTGAATGCTCATGAATTTCTTGAGTGCAGATTAACATCGTAATTAAATGCTTTCTTTACATTCTCCCAACATAATAGATTACTTTTTCTATGTAGAGTCTTGGTTGAGATAAATAAGTCAGTGTCACGAGCAGGATTCGAACTCACGACCTTTGGCTAAATACGCCGCTACTCTACCACTTGAGCTATCGTGACTTCGATCCCTTCGGCCACCATCTCTCCATCTCAATGGTAGTAATGGATTACTTGTATCGGCTAGACTAGTTTTAGGTCCAACCATTAATAAGACTATAGTGCTCCTACGAGTGCAGTCTATAGCTCAATACTTTCACGTGTTTTCATTAGACTCCATATACCTGATGTGGCTACCTCGTTATATTTGGTGTTCCTTAATTTCTTTGCCCACAAGTAAAAACATTTTTTATAAATTCTTAATCATTTTATGAAATTTAAATAAAAAGTCAGCGTGGTATGGAATTTGGTGAGAACATAGGCTTCTTCTTTCTTGACATATAGACGATTGATTCTGTCTAGTGCCTCCTTTGGGCCTATTGCCTTTTATTCCTTGTATTAAACTAGCAAAACAAAAAAAAACGACAGTTTTGTTCTTTTTTGATAAATTTTGGAACTATCCAAATATTGTCCTCCATAATCTCTAAGAAGAAAGTATTGTAAAGTGGTTTGATCCCTCTTCGGTTAATTTGACATTAAGCCCTCCTGAAACCCAGGCATGTACGTTATGTATGTTATGTTACGTTTTTTTAATTTCTTCATCATTGTTTGAGGTTTAGGATGATCGTAAACGAATCACCAAAACCTGCATTTGGAACAGAAGAATTAGTACTATTTCAATTTTGTTTTTCGGAAAAGAAAAGTAATTCATGTCATACTGTAGGGCTTAATATTTTCTTTGGTGATTGATCAGCCTTCTCAGTTTAAAAATATTTTTTTCTTTCCAAAACGTAGATTGGGGATGAGGCCAGGAAGACAGAAACAACATTTATTTTCTTGTCGAGCTTTCGGCAGAATATATCGCCTTCATCAGGACTCTGTATTAACAAATTAACATAAGTAAATTTTCAAATATACAATTTTTTAAATTTTCCTTAATTACTAACTCGAAAAAAATCGGTATACTATATGAACAGGTACATGTGTGGGTAACGGATAGCCGGTAGAACCCACTTTCGATAAACGAAGGTAATAAATATTCCTAAACGCGACAGTATTGCCAACTGGCTCAATCTTCAATCTATAAAAAATTCCCTAACATTTTGATATCAAATATCACAAATTATACAATTAAGAGAAAACTATAAATTAATTTGAAACAATCCTAAAATAAATTAATTATCACATTTAAACATTCAGGTACATATTACACTATTAAAGCTATTGGTTAAGGATAGAACTGTAAATTACACTTAAGTTTGATACATCTGTTCTAAGGTTACACGAATTACCTACTTTATGAATGTATAGCATCTCTTTAATCAATCTTCTACCTAAAAATTTTTCTTTATCCATAACAGAAACATTATTAAAATCAAACGTGTTGTTATATTTTTGACTGTGTTGGAAAAACGAGTCCTTTGCTTATTTACATCTCTAACGTCGTAGGCGTGTTGTCTACATCCATTTTTCAATAATTGTTTAGTTTGATACACAGCACTACATTCGTTACAACACAATTTATATACAACATTGCTTCATAGTTGTGTTGGCACTTTTGATTTCAATTTTGAAAAAATTATATTTCCCAAATTGTTCTTATATTTTAAGGCTATCACAGTCGGTATATCTCAGTTTGCAGTTCTATTTCTGACCATGGCAGAGAGCTTTTTAGTAATGCCCTTCACATATGTAATACCTCTGTACAATTTAACGGTATTGTTAACAGGTACTTTTTTTCATTTACTAATTTCATTACTTTCATTCTTATATGTTAAAATTCTATCATTAATTCATTTATTTACAAGAGAGGTAGGATATTGATTTTTAACTAAAATATATTTAACTAATGCTTTACATTCATAGTGGAATTGAGGGGAGCTAAGTTTAAAAATTCTATCTTTTAGGTTGTATATTACATTTATTTTCAATTTAAAAAAGTGGAGGAA